CCCCAAAACCCCAAAACCCCATCTCATGGAATATTTGAGTATTTATGTGTATTAAAAATAAAGGAATTTTTATATTTTGTAAGTTATCATTTATAAATTATCGATTAAGATTGAGGTATATTGAATTTACATATCACTTTGCTTTTAATACAATTTATTTGTTCAAAAATGACAAAAATCCCTTTTATTTGTTATCAATATATCTCCAAAATGCTGAGGGGTGAATAGTCTTTAATCATCATTATTCAACGTTTAGATTATTATGACTTCAGTTGATTGAATTCAGCAGTAATATGAATGTTATAAAAGCTAATTGAACTTTCAGACTTCAATAGCTATACTTTGCTGAAATTTCGTTGTTTTACTATAGGTTCGTTAAAATATCTTCATTATTCGTAATGTATTATAATATATTTAGTTTGTAAAGCAATTAATAATCAGTATGGAAAAATACATGATACTTTACATTTTCATGATGTTTCAAATCTCATAAGCATTTCTATTTATTGACCCCATTCTTGCAATCGGTAGAATGACTTTCTTAGAAAGATTTTTATACACATCAATTAATGTACTTGGCTTTTGTTACTACCCAAGAAACACATAGTTCGGAAATTTTATGATGCTTTAAAGAGAAGTCTCTAAAAATGCCATGAAATAAAAAAACATTACAAAACAAGCGCTGGCAGACTATCACATATCTCTTCATGAAATGAAAGAACCTTCAAAATACTTAAAATTAGCTTATAAAAGATCCATGTCACCTCGGATTCCATTAATAACTCACAGAGTATATTTTACAAATAAAGATTCTCCTCTTGAATTAGATAATTTCCTTAGTGGAGACCTGCAAGAAAAATTGTATTCAACATATAGATATTTTGATGATTCTGCTTCGAAATATGAAGATCTAAAATCAAAGGAAGGTTTGAAGTGGACTCATTATTTCTGGGTTATAAGCAAAAAGATTTTACCCAGAACAACACAATTACTTGAATAAAAAGGAGTAATTGTGAGAGAAATATCGGAATCATAGTTGTACGATACAAAGACAAGGGATTAAATTGATTTTTATATGGAGGATTTCAAAGCCGTGTCTGCTGCAACTGATGTGATAAGGGCTATGGTTGTAGCTGAGTTTGGGGGATTTTATTTTGACAATGATTTTAATTTGGATTTATGGGACTATAATTTGCATTACTTATTTGACTTTTATGGGTTTAGTTTCAAAGAATATCAAGGAGATAGATTTATTCTAAATGGTATTTTTGGAGCTAAAAAGGAGCATCCCATTGTGGTGAATTATCTAAAGCAAATGACTGGTACATTCTCTTTGAAAGAAGAATAAAGACCAACTTATCAGAGTGAGTGTATGTTCAGGACAACAGCCATGACATATTTTGCTACGGGACCATTTATTATAGGAAGTATAGCTTACAATTACATTAATAAGGATGGTAATTAAGACATGATAATCTAATGGAATCACTCTAAAGAGAATGCTGTTTATGAGATAAAGACTTAAGAGATTGATGAAAATGGCTAAATTAAACCAATAACAATTAGACACAGTGGTAGAGATTCTCTCTCTGCTAGCTGGACAAGACATTTTAGTGATATGTTAACTTTTGGATGGGCTGAGATCAATAATTTCAATTGAGATTTTGATATTTAAGAAAAAACTATTTTTGATAAATTTAAACAATACTGTCCAACGGGGTTTTGGGGTTTTGGGG